CTATCTTGTCATTTTGGAAGCGATCCACTGTGTCTTGTATGGTCTCATTAATGTTTCTATTTGAACTCTAAAAACACAAATCAGTGGGCTATTGGTTTTCAGTTTACTGTTTATACCTTCCTTGTTAAACTCTTGTGAGGGAAAAAGCTCTACAGTTATGTATACATGAATTTGCAGTATATTCCCCCTACAAAAAAAAATTAATGTCATGTGTGTTTGCCATAAATGAGATTTCATAAATATCAACAACACATAGCAGGTCTAAGTATTGCTTTTGTTATTTTTAAGGAACCTAAAATTGTGCTTCACAGGTCAACAGAAAGACAAGGTCTTTACCCCATAGAATGTCTAATTTTGGACATCATGGGCCAGACTTTCATGTACATGTATGTTCCATTTGTAATACTTCAGAAACACAGAGGGGGCTTACTACAGCTGTAAGGCAGGAGAGACTCCTCAGGAGCTATAGGTCTGGGGTAGCTAAGTTTATACTGGCTGATCCCGGTCCTCCAGCATAGATGACACTTGTGGATGGGGAAGGGCTATATCAGGAGTGGGGCCTGAACACAATGTGCTCTGGTGATCCTGGTTGGCAGAGTGGCTCTTTGGGAACCAGCATAAGTGTCATTTGCCAGCATAAATTGGAGCAACCCAGAAGCTGCTCTGACTCAACTGGTGGAAGTGGTATATATAGGATAACAAACATCAGGAAGCGGATGTGGAGAGGAAGGATGGGCTACACAGCAATGAGATTGTTTTAACTGCTGTAAAATAACAGAATCAGTAATCAACATTAATATTTCCAATTTTGAGTTATACTATTGCTATAAGATCAGACATGCTGGAACAGCAGCATTAAAAAGCTAAGCTGCATTAAATGTAATAAGTTTTCTAAGTACCACATACACCAGGTCACTGGAAACCGTGGATGTTTTTCACATAACATACAGCATTTGTTAGAATAGCACGAAATCACACAACACTATTTAGAATTGCTCCTATGTCTTCCTGTGCAGGAAAATTGCTTCTGTTTTGGTTAAGTGAGAGGTCTTTACTCATCTCCAGCAATGGTAACAACTATATTAATTTGAAAAAGAGGGTTGATAAGTAGATTATATTGTAGACTACAAGTATGATGGCTGACTCAACAAACACTACAACAAATGCTTAAACATGTACTTAGGTGCTTTGCTGGAAAAGATTAAATAAGCTTCCTTTCTAGACACTAAGAATTTCCTGTGTCCCTATGGATTGTTGCAGTTTTAGTCTTTCCTTTCTTACTGTGTGCTTTTCTTCACACCAAATTAGACGACTTTCTGACAGGGAAGCCAAAGGAAGCTGCAAGAATGGTAATGTGCCCCTCCCCAGCAGCATGGGCCTATCATTTCGGGTATTGGAGCATCTCGTGGAGAGGTAAATCACTGCAGGGGGGCAAGGCTGGGGACACCCTGGCCAGTGCCACCCTGCCGAGTGCCGGATCAGACCCATACCCTGTCCACCCAACCCCTTGCATCTAGACCCCCCAGACTCAGACCCCCTTGAGCCTCACTGCCCCCCCACAACCAGAACCTCCCCATCAAGCCCCCCAAACCACTGAGCTTCACCCCCTGCACCCAGCCAGTGGCTCTGACCCTGCACCGGGCTCATCTGCTAGTCCTGGCTGTGCTGGGGGAGGAGCACAATTCTCCTGCACTGAGTGGCCAGGTCTGACCTGCCCCAGAAACTTCCCCCGGCTCTGCACCTCCCCTGTTTCCTGCCCCCATCGCTCCTCAGCTACAGTGGGAGGGATCACTCTACGGCGAGCTGCTCCCCCATCTGCCCAACCCCCTGCAACTGGATCCCCCATACCCAGGCTCCCCCACCAAGCCTCAACCCCCCCTACATCTGGACCCCCACCAAGCCCATCTGCTGACCCCATCCCTCCTGCATCTAGATCCCCCCATCCACATATCCAAACCACACCCTGCTGAGTCCCCCAACCTCAAACCCCCACCCTGATTAACCACACCCACTATGCACCTGGACCACCCCATGAGCCCCCCACATCCAAACCCCTATCCCACTGAACCCCAACCAGCTGCACATGGACCCACACCTCGCCAAATCCCACTTCCCCAGCACCTGGACCCCTTTCTGAGCCCCATCCCCAGACCCCTCTGCTGAGCTCCAATCACCTTCACCTGAACCCCCCTGCAAAGTCCCATTGCCCCCACACTGGACCGCCCCCCCACTTGAGCCATCTACACCCAGATTGCCCCACACAGAACCCTCTCACCCTATACCTGGATCCCCCCCACACTAAGCCCCTCTACACTTGGATCCTGCTGGGCTGAGCCTCCCTGCCCACAGCTGGTGTGCCTGGCATGGGGCTGCTAACCCTAGTGAGTTGCTTCACCTCCTACTCCTGAGGGAATTCTGCACCAAAAAAAATAAAAATTCTGAGCACAATTTTAAAATTCTGCTAATTTTATTTGTCAGTAATTAAATGTGGAGGCTCCAGCATGGCAGTGGGGAGCACAGGCCACTGGCTGCATGGAAGTCAAAGATCACCCTGCAGCCCTCCCTCTCCCCTCCGCACCCAGGACATAGACCTCTGGGGCAGGCCTAGCCCCTGCGATGTGCCAGATTCAGGCGCAGCCTCACTGGCAAGTCTGTGTCCGGGGGCTGCTATGTGGAGCCTCTGCATTTATTTGTTGACAAATAAAATTTGCAGAATTTTAAAATATTGTGTGCAGAATATTTTTTTTGGGGGGGGGGGCACAGAATTCCCTCTCTAGTAACTAGAAGAGATGGGCTTTTTAAAACCACTTGTTAGCTAGCACATGTCAAAATCATAGTGCGGATGAGGCAATTATAGTCCTAACTCAAGTGAGCAGGTTGTGGGGAAACACCCGCCTCCACCATGACAGCTTTTCCTAGTCTGAATGCACCCAGACATTTTACAATCTCATTAACGTCTCAACAAGTGAGCATGACAAACAATAGAAGGAAAGGGAACTGGAAGTGTCTTGCAACTCATCAGATATTACTGCTTATATTGGGCCAGATTTTTTAATCTATTCCAGCTACTTTCTGCTACTCCGGTGGTGCACAGCAGCCCTTGAACAGCTATCTAAGGGGTCCCTCTATTGAGGAGGGCTAACAAGTGGCATGGTTCCTCAGCAGCATCTCCTCTCCCCTCCCACTCACAACACCATGCCATGCCAGGCTGATCTCCAGCTGCCAGAATAGAATTTAGGGGCTACAGGCAGCTGGTACAAAGCAACCCAGCCCCAAAAGCAGGGAGGCTAGGATCTGGCCCAATGCATGAAGTGAAATTGAGGGCTTAATATGGTTCTCCAAGATGGAATCTCTGTTTATTCAACAATTTTTAAACAATTAAGAATTTATATCCCAAAATGCTACATTAAAATAACATTAAGGAGAAGTCAAGCACTGAGAAGTTTAGGAAATTACTGGGAAATGTCAAATTAAAGTTGTCTGTACAATCTTAATTTATCCCTCCTTGTACATATGCATTCTGATAGTCTTTAATTTATGACCACATACTATCATCTTTTCTTGTCCTGCAGTTTCCTCTTTCTTTCCTTGCAACTTCCGCAACAAATGGATCAGGAATCCTACAGACAAAAGCCCCTTCACTATACAACCCTGATTCAGCTTCTCCGAGCACAGTACATCCTGTGTAATGAATGAGACAGGGGTCCTATGGGGGGAAAAAGTTCGTGACTGTGTAATTAAAGATAATCATAATGGGTACACACAAGGAAGTGAACGAAGGTTGCATGGGCAACTGTCCTTCCTTAACTTTGGAGTGCTTGATTTTGCAACACTGATGTTCTTTTAACATTTTTTGCGGGGATGCAAAACACACGCTTTTCAGGATTGCCCAGAGGATGCTGCAAGGCAACGTGAAACTGAACAAAAAGTCTTGTTAATATCACTTTGCTGGTGGGCAGAGCTATCCAGCAGCAGTGGCTGGCACTGGAGCCATCTGTCTGCGGGCCTGGGCACACATCACTGCCTCAGTGTAGACCAGTGGTTTTCAACCGCTGGTCCATGGCCCCCGAGGAGGTTTGCAGACTATGTCTAAGATTTCCAAAGGGGTCTTTGCAACCGCAAATGCTAGGGTGGGTTTTCCTGCATGGAAGTTTACTGTGCGCGAGTACCGATGGGCGAGCCCCACGCGCCAGAAGAGGGGTCCTGCGCCTCAGTGGCCAGCGGAGTTTCCCAACCCCAATCATCCCACACCCCAGCTGAGGGCCCTGGGCGCAGCTGAAGGGCCTGGCGGTCACATCGCGGGGCAGGGGCAGGGCGGCGAAGGCGGCTCCAGCCCAGCCCTACCCACCTCACGCACGGACTCACTGTGCCCGGTGCTGCGGCCTGCAGGGCGGGCGCCTCGGAGCAGATGTTAGGCTGCAGACTGAGCGTGGCTGAGTCCCTCCCTCGGCCCCGGGGAAGCCCACGCCGAGCCTCACGCTCCGCCGCGGCAGCAGCCCTTGCCCAGCCAGCGGGAGTACTCCGAGCCACGTGGACTACGATTCCCAGCGTGCACCGCTCCGATCATCGCCTGGGCAGGCGGCGCAGCAGGTTGGAACTCTTTAGTCTCCATGGAGATGAAAATGGAGCGTTGTATGCTGAGAATGGTAGTCCTCGCGAGACTGCGATGCAAGCTGGGGTCTTTAGTCCCGACCGGCTGTTTCTAAGATCCGCTTGCCTGCGAGGATTTGCACATGCGCGACACAAACCCTGGGCGATATTCTCCCCCTTGCTTCCAGCATGCAACGAGTCGGGCACGTACAGCGGTAACCCATCACCCACTGGATTCATCAACACGCACCTGGCTATCGCGATATCCTGCCCGAGGAGGGTCAGGACCGTGTTTCTCTGGGCTGGCGAGACAAAGTAGTAGCTCCGCGCGAGAGACTTATGTGGCGCCCCCGGAAGTGACGACTCCCAGGGGGTTGGCCCGCGGGGGGCGGGCCCCACCAGCCCGAGGGAGGGAGGGGCAGGGCGGACGGCTGCTGTTCGTTCCTCAATGGGCTCGGGCGGCGCGCTGCCGCCGGCACCTAAGCCGGCGTGGGTAAGTGAGGAGACCCCGTCGCGCGGTGCTGGGGTGGGTCCCGGCCTAGGGGCGCGGCGGGGTCCCGCTTTCTCCAGCGGGGTGTAGCCCCGTGGGGCGAAGGTCGCTACAGCTCCGCACTCCCGGGCCCGCGGGGAGCTGGAGCCCGCTGGGGAAGGGGCTGCTGCGCGCCCGCGGCCAGGCCGGTCCCCGCCGAGGGAGCTGGCGGGGGGGCAGGGCCGCTCCTCGTGTCCGTGCCCATCTCCGCGGCGTCGGGTGCCTGTCCTCGGGCTCCGGGCGGGGGTCCTTGAGTCCCAGGGCCGCTCGGGGGCCGTTTAAATCCGCGTGTGGCCGGCGCCACCCTAGGCGCTTCCCGCTTCTTCGTGCTGCCGCGCAGCCGGGGAGCGCCCGAGCAGCGATCCCCAGGGCAGGCACCTGGGCCCCGCTCTAGATGGCCGTTTCCCCACTGCCCAGCCCCAGCAGCGCCTTTCCTCCCCAGGGCTGTGGGGGCACAGGAGGTGCCCAGTGTCGCTGGTCTGCTCGGTCTCCCCGCCCTTCCCCCCGCCCCCGTCCCGGTGCGGCTTCGCGTGTGTAGCATGAACAGGCACCGTGGTGAAAGGCAGCGCTAGGGCTGCTTCCTAGGGACCAAGCGCTGATCTTAACCAGGGAGCTAGAGGTTACTTCTGGAGGAGAAAGCGAACTCTTACTTTCACGAAACTCCCCTGCATCGGTAACCGCGTGTTTGAGGTGGGTGACCCTGGGCTTTGTTCCGTAAACATGATCACTCACAAGATGTCACGCTCCTTATTCCTTAATTGTAGAGTCAGCCTGAGGACAGTGGAATGATAATACACTAGAGTGATGCACAGATTTACAGACTGAAACCCTTTAAAGACTATTGCATGAATGTGTTTACAAAATCTTAGTTGAACTTATAAGAAATAAAATTAGATTAATAAAGATTCTTGGGCCACCAGGTGATTTTCTCCAAGTATGCAATCAGATAACTTGGATACAATCCTAATGCAAAGTAACCGAAGTGAGCTGTAGCTCAGGAAAGCTTATGCTCAAATAAATTGGTTAGTCTCTAAGGTGCCACAAGTACTCCGTTTCTTTTTGCGAATACAGACTAACACGGCTGTTACTCTGAAACCCGAATTTCCATTGGCTTTTCAGGACACTTCAGCATTTCCCAAACATATTCTGTCTATCATCTAGCATATTAAACGTATTTCCTTTCAAACATAGTAGGCATAATAATTAGGCTTGATGTCCCGCTCTCACCTGCTTGGTCAGCTGACTCCAGGTATGTCTATGCTACAGGGTCACAGCCATGGCACTGCAGTTGTACCACCGTAGTGTAGACACTCCTATGTTGCCAGAAGGGATTTTTCAAGTGAAGTAGATAATCTAACCCTCTAACAGACGGGAGCTAGGTCAACAGTCCACCTGGCTGCATCTAAAGTGGGGGTGAGGTTGTCCTAAATTTTTGCCCTGTGAGACTGTTTTCCCAGCCCTGAGTGATGTATACCAGACCTCGGAGAGAATTATCCATGGAACTTTCATCTTTGCTGCATTGGAGAGGTGCTCAAAGATAACTGTCCAGGTTTTGCAGCAACCAGCTGGAACCCCGTTTCAGAACAGTATTGTATAAATGAATTTATATGGAGCTGTACTGAGATCAGTTTGCAATGTGATATGATAACAAACAGGCCAATGCACCTTTTGAATGCGTACAGAGAAACATGGAGCAAGGAGGCAATGATAGTCCTGGGGGTAATCATACCTCATGGTACTTTGGGTTTTGGGCGCCTTATTATTAAAAAGATGCTCACAAAGAGGAACAGATTTAGAGAATATCAATGGAAGATATTGGGGTTATAGAGATTGATTTGCAGAAAGAATAAAAGAGCTAAGCAAGGCTTGAATAATAGCTTAGGAGTCGCTAAGTCTGAGGGTTTTGAAGGATGTAAAAACAAAAGATGAAGAAGAATTATTTATAGTAATACAAGATGGGGTATATGTCTGCGTGGAGACAAAATTAAGGGGAAATCTCGGATAAATTTAGGAAAAACTTTGACCTTTCTCAAACTGAAATTGTTTACAAAGTGAAGTAATGTAAATTAGGCTGGACAAAACAATAAAAATATATTAGGGCTGTCAAGCAATTTAAAAAAAATAATCTCAATTATGTGATTAAAAAAATTAATCACGTGATTAATCACACTGTTCATCGAATGCTTTTTATTTAAATATTTTTGGATGTTTCCTACATTTTCAAATATGTTGATTTCAGTTACAACACAAATATAAAGTGTACAGTGCTCACTTTATTTTTATTACAAATATTTATGTGCACTGTAAAAAACAAAAGAAATAGTATTTTTCAGTTCACCTCATACAAGTACTGTAATGCAATCTCTATCATTAAAGTTGAACTTACAAATGTAGAATTATGTACAAAAAATAGCTGCATTCAAAAGCAAAACAATGTAAAACTTTAGAGCCTACGAGTCCACTCAGTCCTATTTCTTGTTCAGCCAGTCACTTAGACAAACAAATGTGTTTTCATTTGCTAGAGATAATGCTGCCCACTTCTTGTTAGAACAGACATTTGCATGGCACTGTTGTAGCCGGCGTTGCATGTTATTTATATGCTAGAAGCGCTAAAGATTCATATGTCCCTTCATCTCTAACCACCATTCCAGAGAACATGAGTCCATGCTTGTGACGGGTTCTGCTCAAAAATTATCCAAAGCAGTGCAGACCAATGCATGTTCACTTTCATCTTGTGAGTCAGATGCCACCAGCAGAAAGTTGATTTTCTTTTTTAATGGTTTGGGTTCTGTAGTTTCAACGTTGGAGTCTTGCTCTTTTAAGACTTTTGAAAGCATGCGCCACACTTCGTCCCTTTCAGACTTTGGAAGGCTCTTCCGATTCTTAAACCTTGGATCGAGTGATGTAGCTATCTTTAGAAATCTTGCATTGTTACCTTCTTTGCGTTTTGTCAAATCTGCAGTGAAAGTGTTCTTAAAATTCACAGCATGCTGGGTCATCATCCGAGACTTCTATAATATGAAATATATGGCAGAATGTGGGTAAAACAGAGCAGGAGACCTACTATTCTCCCTCAAGGAGTTCAGTGAAAATGTAATTAACGCATTTATTTTTTTAATGAGTGTCGTCAGCATGGAAGCATGTTTTCTGGAATGGTAGCCAAAGAATGAAGGGGCATACGAAAGTTTAGCATATCTGGCACATAAATACCTTGCTGTGCCAGCTACAGAAGTGCCATGTGCACGCCTGTTCTCACTTTCAGGTGACGTAAATAAGAAGCAGTTATCAGTATCTCCCGTAAACATAAACAAATGTGTTTGTCTTAGCAGTTGGCTGAACAAGAAGTAGGACTGAGTGGACTTGTAGGCTGTAAAGTTTTACATTGTTTTGGTTTTGAGTGCAGTTATGTAACAAGCAAAGTCTACATTTGTAAGTTACACTTTCATGATAAAGAGATTGCATTATGGTACTTGTAAGAGGTGAATTGAAAAATACTATTTGTTTCTCTTTTCACAGTGCAAATATTTGTAATAAAAATAATCAAAGTGAGCACTATACACTTTGTATTGTGTGTTGTAATTTAAATCAATATATTTGAAAATGTAGAAAAACATCCAAAATAGCTAATTTCAATTGGTATTCTATTGCTTAACAGTGCAATTAAAACTGCAGTTAATTGCAATTAATTTTTTAAATCGTGATTAATTTTTTTTAGTTAATCACGTGAGTTATCTGCAATTAATTGACAGCCCTAAAATATATTATTGCCAGGAAGATGGGGCCGGATCAAGTTATACGTTTTTTCCATGTTGAACTTCTGAATCTGTCACGTGAAATATTTATTTTACACTCAATGGCATAGCGCTTCAAGAGGGACTTTCTCATATCAGTGGAATCATATGATGGATCAGGGCACGTGAACTTTTAAGGCTCTGTTTTCATGCCTTTTTAACCTTGACACTTTTCAGTCTTTGTCTCATTCCAATGTGAATTTTTGACATTTGAAAATAACTGGTTCAGCTGTCTGTGTTTATGGTGCTATGAAAAATTGTTTTCTGCTTTTTGAAAAGGGGTCTTTTATACACTTAATTTAAAAGCAGTGATTTGTTTTTAAAAGTCCAAACTTGTAGTGGGCATAACTTTCCTTGATGGCTGGTGTGTGTGATATGTTGGACAGATTGAGCTTATAAGTATATTTAGAGGTTAATGAATGTGAAGAGTATCTGCATTATGAATATGGTTTAGATATCTGCAATTTGTGCCAGACATCAGCTCACTGTAGTGTTTGGCAGCACAGCTGCTAATATTTTTGTATCTTGACCAGATTTCTTTTTGGATCCTAAGGCTGCCATGGCACCATGGTATGTACTCCATGAAAATAGTTTTTTCGCCACATAGCAGTGATTAGCAGCCTTTCCGCCCATTAAATGACTTGGGTCAGGATTGTTTTTGAACTAGTTAATACATAGTGTTCACTCCTTTCAGTCATAAAGTACTGGCACCAAAAAATCCACATCTTATTTTTTCTTTAGAAACATATCTGCATGAAGAATAGAGTTAATATCTTGCCTATTTTTGCATAATATGAAACTGCCTCATTGGAGGGGGGCGGAATGCCTGAAAGAAGGATTGATTGTAACAGATAAGTCTAAACAGGTGCATGTACCATCATTAGAGCCCTGCGCTGATACAAAATTTGGATCCGCGTACATCAGCAATCTGCAAAGATGATCTGTGGATATCTGCAGATATAAAGCGGGGATCTGCGGATTTGCAGGGTTCTAACCATAGTGTACACAATGGTTACACAGTGCACATAAGTAATCTCTTCCTAAATTTGAGTGGTATTCACTATCATGGCTTTTTTGTGGAGTACCTCAGAGTTATGAATACCTCAGGAATAGAGGTTGTTTGTAACCTGAAATATTCCTAACTCTGAACAAAACATTATGGTGATTCTTTCA